CCCCTCCCTCAAAAGAAACACATAAACAAAACAGCGTGGAACTGGTAAGGCACTCTTGTGACTACAAGGTGAAGGGCTTATTCCCTCCCTCCCTCCCTCACTCATCCTTTCATTTTTCAACACACATGTACAGAGGACCATCCTTGGCAGAAGCTCTGGCCTTTGACTCTCCCTGGCCATCTGAGTAGCTACACTGGGGCACTAATAAGGATGACAGCTACAACTGGAATTTTTGAGCACTTTCCTTTTTTTGGCTGCATACTATACTAAGTATTTTACATGTATTATCTTATTTCATCCCTATCCGTGCCAGGTGATTTTACACATACACATCCCACACTTGGAGCATAATAGGAGCGCTAACAGGAGGACATGTACTTTGAATTCATCATGTTCCAGGCACCCATTCTGAACTCTACATATTTTAACCCATTTAATTCTTCCAGCAACCCTGGAGGTACTTCTATTGTCATCACGCTCTTCATGCGGCTGAGGCACAGAGACATAGGGAAGTTAAGCTGCTTGGCCAAGGTGACCATCTAGCCAGTGGTGGAGCTGAGATCTGAAGCCAGGCAGTTTGGTGCCAGAATCTGTGAATTTAATCACTGCTCTAGGCTAGAAGCTAATGATCGCGGCTGCTTTTTCAGGAGGTGGGCCCTGCGGGCCAACCTGTGTGGGAGATTTACTTTTACCGCATATCCCTACGTATTGTTTGACTTTTTTATATGTGTTTCTGAAGATAAATAAAGACATTTTTAAGCAGAGAGGTTAACTGGCAAATTCCATTTATTCTTCAAAACCAGGAAGGCTTTCTTGATCCTTCTCCCAGATCTTTGTCCTTATCATCATCTCTGTGGCTCTACCTGGTATCTGGTATATATACTCGGTTCCCAGGAAATGTCTGCTAAATGAACTTTCCCTAAAAACCACCTTTGTTTCTCCTAGCTTTCTGTCTCTCTTACGTGGCATTGACCATTCCTCCTAGAGAATGCCAGCCTCTCACTGTTACTCCTTTGCTCAAAAACCTTCACGGATCTGCTTCCGATGCCTGTTAGGTCTGAATGTGGCCTGAGTATCTAGGTTGTCCTGAGGCTAGCCTCACCCTGACTCACTAATGTTGCTCACAGTGCTTCAAATCCTATCCAGCCTTTAGGAGGCTACACGTGATTACCCCAAACCTCGGTGAGAGCTTTCTCCTCTGGCTCCAATCCACGGAGTCTGTACCACTACAGTTTAGCACGTGATCTGCCTGGGACTGCCTCTTACTACTCCCTGTCCGAGGAGTGAGCAGCAATGTGGCAGCTCTCTCTCCTCCTCTGTTCCCCCTCTGCTCAGGACAGCATAGTGGACTCAACCAGCCCACAGGAGTGAGGTAGAAACTTTACAACAAAGGCTGGCAATCTTACCGGTACTCACCATTTACAGATTGTCATTGGTGAATCAGCTGTAGACTTCCTTGCTTTATCTAAAAATTCTTACTTCTCGATACCTACATTTTTGGCTGCTTCGTAAGGATTGTCTTCCTGCTCTATCCCCTGGCAATTAATGGTCCTTTTTCAAATATAACATCTTTCTGATTCCCTCCTTCCCTTATGGCCTGCCCTCTTTCACCACATCACTTCACCCTCCCTCAGGAAAGGGCTAATGTAGTTAGGCCTGTGCATCGAACTGCTTACTGGGCTCAACAAGCACCTCCAATCCAACAGGCTCCAAAGTGAACTCCTAGCCCCACCCCCACCTGCCAACCTGTTTCTCCTTGGATTTGCCCAGTCCTGCTGGACACAGCACTTCCACACTCTGGGCTGCTCAAGCCAGAAATCAGGGAGTCATCCTCTCTCTTATTACCATGACCACCCAACACTGTGTGCTCTGTCTCTTCTCCCAACTCCAGGACACATCGGAGCTCATCTCTAACAGGTCCTCACCCCCTCTCTGGCCACTCCCTGTCACATACGCTGTACTGCAGTCACGCTGGACTACATTCTGCAAAACTGTCAAGTGCTTTTTCACCTCTACACTTTGCTCAAGCTGTTCTCTCTCCTGGAATGCCCTTCTTCCTCTATGAAGTTTCATCTGTTTCCAGTACCTTTGTACACGAATGCATATATATGACTTATAAGGATTTATCTGTGTGCTCACTTATGGTAGCAAGTAAATATTGTGTTTAAGTATATTCACACTGTATTCTAGCTGT